CCACCTTCGGTGACAAGAGAAGAGGCCCGCCACACTGGAGCCCTTCACCCAGTTAAGCCACCAATCATGGGCCAGGGTGAAAGGGGGATGTTTGCAAGGATTCCAAGCATGCCTCTGTGGGAAGCACTCGGGTGGGTCTCGGCAGAGCAGTCGATCGGATCAGGAGAGAGGACAGTGCTGAGCCCTGGACCTGACCGTGGGCGGGCGTTGTGAAGTATTAGTGGATGAGGATGGTGGACTGGGAAATGGTGCTACGTCAACTCCTCACTTACTGACTACCTGGTTATCTGACATTCTACCTTCATGAAAACAGTAAAAAAAATCTGACTGATTTGCATGTGGATGACAGACGCACATCTGGCAGGAACAAGTCTTAGATGCTTTCAAGGGGAGCGTAATACCAGACTGTGATGGTTGAGGTAACATGTCAACTTGCCTGGGCCATGAGTCAGTGGCTTGGCAGTTGTGTATGGATGTCGTTTGGCAGTTCTGCAATGGGGTACCACCCTCCATTGTGTGCTTTGATGTGATCCTCCTTCATTTTTCATACAATGCCAGTCTTTGCACACTGACCCTGCCTTTGCAACCAAGCCACGTTGATAAGTGAGGAGTGGGTGTGCATGTGATCTGAGCAAGGGTTCTTGAGATAGAAGGGGCAGGCTACAAGGAAAGGAGTAATAAAAGTCTCATTGCAGAGTAGGAGGAAGAGCAGGGAAATATTTCTCAAGGTGTAATAGTCATAAACCTAAATGCACCAAGCAACATAGCCGCTGTACACAAACAGCAAGACTAAGGGACATAGACTAATTTAGCAGATCAGAACAAAGCAAGGGCATAGAATTTCTAATAACTCTGACAAGGTGAATGTGCAATAGCTGAGTGAATTGACGAATCCATGCCCGTGCACATGGCGAGCACATGCATGCCTGAATGAAAAAGTGATTGACTCACTCGCGAGTGACTAAACAGACGTGCGACTTGATGCACACATGCAAGAATAAACAAAGCCCCGGAAGACGCGAGTGAATGTTTGTGATACAAAGAAACGGAGAGGGGTTTGGGAACATGAGTAAGTAGAACAAGGGACTTGTGCAGAGGGGAGGGAAGGCAGGGCTCACGGAGAGGAGGGGCCCAGGAGGGGCCCCACTGCCTGTCATCCCCCAGCCCTCGCTCACCCGGCCGAAGAACTGCAGGAAGGTGTTGGAAAGCAGCAGGTGCTTCTCGGCCAGGAAGCGGTAGCGCCGCTTCTCCTCCAGCTCGGCTGCCCGCTGGCTCTCGGACACGAAGGCCTGCATCTGTGCGTGCAGCCGGTTCACACTCTCCTGGGGGGACACAGAGCTCGGGATGGAGGCAGTGCGGGGTGCTACTGTCTGAAGCCCCTCTGTCCTTGCCCAGCCAGCTGGCTCTCCCAGAGTCTCCCCCTCCTGGCCTCTCATGGGCTCTGCCACCCTCTGGCCTGGGTGCTTCTCACAGGTGGGGCTACTGGCCGCCAGGGCAGGACTGAGCACAGAGGTGGAGCCTGGGAGGTCTATCTATGCAGATGGCAGGGGGTGGAGTAATGATGCCCTGCCTAGAAGGGAAGATTTGAAGGGGCTGGGGGAGAAGAGAGCTCCCTTCAAGGATCCAGAGGGACCCCCAACAAGAAGCTCACTCCCTGCCATTGAGCAGATGCCGACTCACAGCGACCCTGCAGGACAGGGCAGGACTGGCCCTGTGGGTTTCCAAGACTGTATCTCTTTACAGGAGTAGAAAGTCTTTCTCCTGAGGTATGGCTGGTTTTGAACAGCTGACTTTGCAGTTAGTGGCCCAACGTATAACCATTACACCCCCAGGGCTGCTCAGAGGCAAGGAGCTAGGGGCTATTAGTCTGTGGATGGGGCCCTGGAGATGGAGACCAGGGCTGCAGGGGGTAGGGAGTGGCGCTGGGGATTGAGACCAGGGGTGGGTGGGGCTGGGGTTTGGAGAAGGGACCAGTTGTCTCTGGAGTCAGGACAGCTGCCTGGCGCCATTACTACACTGTTTATGAGTGACTTCACTGAGAGCCTCTGTTTCCTGGTGAAGCAAAACAAAGAAAGGTGTGTGTTTGGAGTGGGGTGTGGTGACATGAAGGCAGGGGACTGCGGGGGCCCTAGAGAAGTCCAGGGAGCCCCAGGGCCAAGAAGCAGCACTGAGGGGGTGGCTGAGGATCCCTAGTGCCCAGCTCCCCAGCGATTGGCTCATTCTCTGGCTAGCTCAGCAGTCCTGGGGACCGGCCCACCCCCCTGCCCCCAGCTCAGCACCTTCATCTCCCGCGCGTTCTTGTCCCTCTTCCGCTCCATGCGCCACAGATCCGACATGCACTTCTCCAGGTTGGCCGCTCGGCGGCGGTACTCCACCTCATAGTGCTGGCGGCTGTCCTGCGGCGGGAGACCTCCCCCACGTCAGAGAACCCCCTTGGCTGTGTGCGTGGGGGTCGGGCGGGGGTGGGGTAGCAGGCAGCGCCGGCCTCAGGGGGGAGAGGCGGCTCTGCTGGGGGCAGGGCGGGGGAGAGGGGGACTCACATTGATGAACTGCATGTCCAGCTTGGTGTTCTTCTCCATGTGCTGCAGCAGGTCTCCGTGGAAAGTCTGCACCTGCGCGGGGTGCAGGCCGGGAGCTCAGGGGGTCCACTCACCCCCAAGACCCAGGGGCCCACCCGAGTGTCCCTAACCCACCAGACGCGCTCCGCTCAATGGAGACCCGAGCCCTCGAAGGCTGGGCCAGCGGTGAGCCTGCCGCGGTGCCTGGGCCAAACCACCCCTTGGGCAGGGGCCCCCAGCGCCTGCTCAGGGCTTGTCTTCCGTCTGCAATCTCTTGCCCATCTTCAGACCCAGCTGGCCACCCTCGCAGTCAGCCTTCCTGACTGCCCCCGGCACAAGGAAGGGCACGCTCTCTCTACATGTTTGTTCGCAGTTCATTCCTGGAATTTCTCGCTCTGTATTCTCAGGACCTGGCCTGGGGCAGGTGCTCAGGGTTGCTGGAGCCTTAGAGGGGGAGTGGGGGGGCAGTGGTGGTGGCACTAGGTGGCAGGTGAGAGGTGGGGCACCAAAGGAGATGGCATCTAGTGCTGGTTCCGCCTCTGGATTCGCTCCGGATTTTGGACAGGTCACTGGCCCGGTGGAGCCCTGGTGGTGAAGCTGCCCCTGCACTTGGCTGCTCACTAAAATTTTGGAGGTTCAGATCCACCAGCCGCTCGGCAGGACAAAACACAGCAGGATAAAACACGAGGGTGTCTGTTCTGGCCCATAGGGTGACAGCCTTGGAAGCTCTAAGCAGCAGTCCTACCCAGTCCTGTAGGGGCCCCAGGTCAGAATCAGTTCTCAGCGGGACCACAGGGGGCTGGTGGGCCCTGAAAGGACCCAGCAGGTGGTGGCTGAGGCAGGCTCCCCGAATGTGATGAGCTTGGTGTCCCAGGGCCCTGTTATCTCCAGCCTCTCTCCCTGAGTCCTCACTGCTCGGAGCTCCACCTGAGCCCTCCCAGCTGCCTTCTTGCCCCGGGCTCCATCAGCTGTCGGAGGTACAGCCAACATACTAAGAGGCTTTGTCCTGCCCCCCCACCCCTTTTCCTGCTTATTCTCTTTATCCTTCCTGCTTCCTATGGCCTAGAAAACTCCACTAAGGAACGAGCCAGTTTCCACATCCTACAGCGGGGCTGTCTGTCATTCCTTCTGCCTCCGGGGTGCCAGGGCTGAGCCACATCAGGAGCTGGGCATCAGAGCAGAACACTGGGTGATGTCTGTCTCTCCTCAGCCCCGCAGGGCAGACCTGGACACCTCGATGGCACAGGGCCAGCCCGTCCCAGGGCCAGTCTGCATCAGCTCCCTGCAGAAAGGCCTCTGCTCACAGCTGGGTGCTTGAGGCAAGCTTTGGGCCCTTGGCGAAGGGCACCAGAGGGCTGGTGAAAAGTAGCTGGGGAGGGTCTGAAACTGGGAAGACACCAGCCCGGGTGCGGTAGTGACATCATCTCCTGGCAACTTGCGAAAGGGTGGAGTCTAGCCTGTCAATCAGGTCATAGCCAATCATGCCTTTGGGTGGGCATGGCTTTCTCCTGAGGATTCTGGGAACTCCTGTCTTTCTCCCCGGAGGTGGGACACACACATTTTCGCTACTACACGATCATGTTGACAAGACACATGGAACTTCGTTGATGGCAGCCAGAGCCCTGGAGCTGAAGGAGCCACGTGGAGACCCATGCCAGCACTGAGATGCCTCCACTGCCACTGGACCCACAAGACTTTCCGCCCACTGGCCTGTGATCTTCCTGCATTCAGCATCATTGCATGTGTTGCGTGAGTCTGAAAAGGACTTTATAGACTGGTATCGGACATATGGGCTGATATGGGACTTAGGGACTTGAGCTGGGCTGGGCTGTTTTCTCAATATTCAATTGCTCTTGTAGTAGAGCTCTTTCTTATACACATATCAGTGTCTATGAATTTGTTTCTCTAGTCCACCTGGACTCACAGGCCGGGCAGCCTGGGGACTCCCTGACTGCTGATCAGAGACCATCCTATCACCAGAAGGTCTGCAGGGCGCCCCCACAAAGACACACGAGAAGCCGGAGGCCAGCCTCACCGCTGAATACTCAGTACCATCGCGTCAGTCCTGCCGACTCATTGAGATTCTCCAGGACTTCGCGGAACTGCCCTCAAGGGTTTTCCAGATGGTAAACCCTCTCGGCATCTGTCTCCTGAGAAGTGGGGGCAATTTTGAACTGCTGCCATTACGGTGAGCAGCCCAACGTGTTGAAATACAGAGTCCAAAGGGCCACAGGCTCTGATGTTCTTTATCAAAGAAGCAGTATGCTAGGTGGCTTTTATGTTTCTGTACTTTGCTCTACTCCCCTCCACTCCCCTCTCCATCCAGGACTTTTCTAGATTGTGATCCTGATCAGAGAGGCCACCTGACAATAGACAGGCCTGTAAAGGGAGTCCTAACGCAGGGAGGAACATGGGCCTCGGGGCCATCAACCGTAGGAGACCCACAGGGTGGCACAGGCACCCAAACACAGCTCTGTGGCAGGAGGGGGCAAGAGAGCAAGACAGGTGGAGATGGTGGAGAGGAGGTGGGGACGGCTACATCCAGGGGGTTGCAACGAACGCCCAGAGCACAATGGGCATGAACTGTGGACACATATGTTTGGGGACCTTCCACTCAAACCGCTAAATTGACTAAGAAGGAAGGAAGCAGAGTGCTTCCAGCGGTTCTCAAGAAATCCCTTTGCCATCTGGAAAGATCTCCTCAGGGCTGACCCAACTCTTCTCCTCCTGCTTCCTCTTGAGCCCCTGCAGCCAGGGGTCCCCACGCCAAGAAAGCATTGGTGGAAATCACGGATGACCTGCGTGTTGCTACATCCCTCACTCTCCCAGCCCTCGAGCGGATTCCCGCGCACAGCAACCCTGGAGAACTGGGGAGAACGGGTTTCCGGAACGATACCTCTCCACGGGCGTGGAAAGCCTCACCTTTCTCTGTGGTTCTTGGGTGTTTTTATATCAGCATGCAGTAATGGGCCTGTCAGTCAGGTCACGGCCTGAGGATGCCTCCTTGGGGGTGCGGCCTTCTTATAAGGAACCAGGGGGAAATCTCTCTCTCTCTCCCCTCTCTCTCTCTGCCATGTTGCCTTCTCGCTTGCTGGGATTCTGTCTGCCTCCAGGGGAGGCCCCATATGGGCCACCCGACCCTGAAAGCTGCTGGTTCCATGCTTCCACCAACACCTGGATCCGCATGACTGCACTTCCCAGCCATCCCCTTACCCCCTGCCCTGTGACCTTCCGGCTTCACCCTTCTTTGCCATCGGCCTGCAACTACTTGAGCCTGAAGAGGACCTTGTCTCGCAGCGGACGCATGGACTTGCGTCGGACTGGGCTGGGACGCCTTCTTGATGTCAGGAAACTTCTCGAGCTCACGCTCTTTCTTATGCACACGAGCGTCACTGTTTCTCTAGAGAACCCAACTGAACACATTCTCCTCTGGAGTGCCTGGTGGGTTTGAACTGCTGACCTTGCAGTTAGTAATGCACGACACCACCGGGGCTCCCAGAACAGCTACATGCAAAATTTGGATCCTGCCTTAAGACCAAGAACGTATGCATCATAGACATAAATGTGAACATTGAAACCACAGAACTCTTAGACGAGAGCAGAGGGGCAGATCTTTATGGCCTTGGGTTCGATTCTCAGCTGTGACGTCAAAAGCATAGTGAGAAAGAGCTAACAAAGATAAACTGCGAACCCTTCCATTGACCATCTTCGGTGTTTCAAAGGACACCCCTGAGAAGGTGAAAAGGCTGCCTGCAGGATGGGAGAAAACATTTGCAGATCACAGACCTGCCGGGGGCCCTGCATCTAAACTATCTAAAGAATTGTAACACTAATGAATCAGAGGTCAAATGACCCACTTAAGAAATGGGACAAATAATCCAGTGAAAGATCTGAGTATGAAATAATCAATGAAGGCAAATAAATGACCAATAAGCTCATGAACAGACGCTCCACGTCATTAGTCACTACACATCCTCAAACTCGCCGACTCACAGCCACCCCGGGGGACAGGGCAGAACCGCCCTGTGGGTTTCCGAGACGGTCACTCCATCTGGGAGTAGAAAGCCTCACCTCCACCCAGGGAGTAGCTGGTAGTTTTGAACTGCTGACTCTGTGGTTAACAGCCCCACTCGTAACCAATGAATGCAAATCCAAACCACAACCAGGAGGGCGGCCGGAATGGAAAGCGTGATAATCAATAGCAAGGGTTGGCACGGATGCGGAGCAATCGGAACCCTCGTTCACCGCCGCTGCCCATGTCAAACGACGCAACCTCTTTGGAAAGCAATCGGCAATTAACCTCCTGAGCAACTTGCCCTGTGGCCCCCTCCCTCCTCCACCGATGAAGCGTGCGGCAGTGGACTGGGTCCTTCTCAAAGCATATGACCGATTCCTCTTCTGTGGCCTGGCCTCTTGCTTTTTTGATCCCGTGATGATGCTGGGTCCCCCTGATGAATCCAAACTGACTGACCTCGTTCCAAAGTTCTTAATGTGATCACGTGTGGGGGGAGGTCAGATGCTCAGGCATTCCCCCCTGAAGGCAATCAGTTGCCAGACTGCTGTCTCATCCCTCCACAGGGTGGGCTGGCTCCCTGCTGCTGGAGACAATGGCCTACTTCTCTCTGAAGCTTGGGACCATTAGCTTGGTTCCTCTAGGTGGGGTTTGCACCCTACTGATAATGGTTCCTATGGAGACCCAGAGACCACCCCCTAGACCACCCTCTCATTGCTGTGTAGCCTATAGTGCAACCCTTCCCTGTGACGTATGTCTCTACCTGTAATTAATGGGCTGGCATGCCCCCAAAAGGTATATAGGCATGGGTCAGCAATATAGGCGGGGAACTTCTCTCTCGGACTCTGACCTCCCTGACTCTTCCCCCTCTCCCTTGTTCCCTTTCCCTCCTTCCCTTCCCCCTCTCTCCACGTGGACCACTAAGCTGGGCTGAGGTGAGCAATGTTGCTATGTATCATGCCTGACTGTATTATTGTATTATCTCTCATGCTCTCGATGACTTTAATATAATACTTACATATCTCAACCGTACAATTGTGCA